AACAATCCAAGAAAAATAGCTAACAATCATAAATATACATGCACCAAAGAGCACTGCACCCAACTATATAAAACAAATATTAACATGTGAAAAATCAAATGAGTACTAATACAATTGTAATGGAGGACCTCAACACTCCACTGTCACAAATAGATCAATTAGACAAAAAAAATCAACAATGAAATATTAGAACTGAACCAAACTTTTGAACAAATGGACTTTGTAGATGTCTACAGAGTGTTCTACCCCAAAACATCAGAATACACAGAATACACATCAGCTGCACATGTGATATTCTCCAAAAGAGACCACATACTAGCTCATAGAATATGCTTAAGTAAATGCAAAAGATTAAAATTATCCCATACAAAAAAAAAAAATTTAATTAATAGGGCTGGGGATTTAGCTCAGTGATGCCGTGACTGCCTTGCAAGCGCACGGTCCCAAGTTTGATCCCTGGTACCAAAAAAAAAAAAAAGGATACAAAAATTCTAAATAAACCAATATCACCCAATGAAATTGAAGATACAATTAAAAACCTACCAACAGGCCAGGGATTTAGCTCAGTGGTTCCGGCACCTGCCTCGAAAGCACAAGGTCCCGAGTTCGATCCCTGGTACCAAAAAAAAAAATCTACCAACAAAGAAAAGCCCAGCCTCTGGACATATTCTCTGCTAAATTCTACAAGAAATTTAGAGAAGATCTAATGTTGCTATTTCTCAAGCTTTTTAATGAAATTGAAAGGGAAGTAATACTCCCAAATTCATTCCTGAAAGCAAGCATTACCCTGACACCAAAGCCAGAGAAGGATCCAACCAAAAAAGAGAACTACAGGCCAATCTCCCTAATGAACATAGATGCAAAAATCCTCAATAACATACTGGCAAACAGAATGCAGCAAATCATCAAGAAGGCAATACATTATGACCAAGTTGAATTTATCCCAGGGAGGCAGGGATGGTTCAACATCCACAAATCAATAAATGTAATACACTATATTAACAGAACCAAGGACAAAAATCACATGATCCTCTCAAAAGATGCAGAAAAACTGTCTGACAAGGACCAAAACCCATTCATGATAATAATACTACAGAAAATTGGAATAGGTGGTTTTTATCACAACCTGATAAAAGCCATCTATGAAAAACCAATAACCAACATCATTCTAAACGGACAAAAACTGAAAGCTTTCACTTTAAAATCAGGAACAAGACAAGGATGTCCACTGCCACTACTCTAGTTCAACATAGTTCTGGAAACATTAGTCAGAGCAATTAGGCAAGAGAAAGAAATAAAAGGAATTAAGGATAGGAAAGGAAGAAGTTAAATTATCATTATTTGTGGATGACATGATATTCTACATAGAAGACCCCGAAAACTTCACCAAAAGACTTCTAGATTTAATAACCAAATTCAGTTGTGCAGCTGGATGCAAAGTCAACACAAAAAAATCAATAGCCTTCCTGTAAACAAATAACTGAGAGACGAACTGGGGAAACAACAGTTTTCACAATAGCATAAAAAAAATGAAATATCTAGAAATCAATCTAAGGAAGGAAGTAAAAGACCTCTACATTGAAAACTACAGTACTCTGAAAAAGGAGATTGAAGAGGATATCAGAAAATGGAAAGACATCCCTTGTTTTTGGATAGGAAGAACCACTACAGTGAAAATGGCCATACTTCCAAAATTGTTATACAGATTTAATGCAATCCCAATGAAAATTCCAACAGCATATCTCACAGAATTAGAAAAAACAATCCTAAAATTCATTTGGAACCAAAAGAGACCTAGAATAGCAAAGGCAATTCTGGGCAACAAAGGCAAGGCAGAGGGTACCAATCCCTTACTTTAAATTATACTACAAAGCCACTTTGATAAAAACAGCTTATTAAGGGAACAGATTAGAAGATGAAGAAATAACTTTAGATAAAGGATCTTTAGCTAGACCCTCAGTGGAGTATCTCTGACTGCCGATCTCAGCTACCACCCTCTTCAGCCAGAAGTAATCAGAAAGGCCTTTACCCCTTGTCCCTTCATGGCATTTAGGGGTACTTCTTCAGAGGGGGAAATATTATAGATAGGTAAATTAATTACCCATCTTGTAGGCCATTAAACAGGGCTCCCCCTGGAGGAGTCAGTATGAGAGATAATCCAGACACATTCACTGAAGATCAATATTATAAAAAGAGAAAACCTACTACCCCCAAGTACTTCCCCTAGGGATGAAGAGCAGTGATTGACATTCTAAATAGGTATCAATCAACTGGGTAGGAAACCAAGGCCTTAACCAGTTGCTTCCAGGAAAAATCCCTGACCCATTCCTTACCAAAAATTTTTGTTTGTTTCTTGCTTGCTTGCTAGGTGACTTGCTTCCCCATTTGACCCCCATTTAATCAATATTACCTAAGCAACTATATTTGTTGTAATCTTATTGGTTGATCATAATTTTGTTCCACCTCATACCCACCTTGTGATTTCCCATTGGGTCAATATTACCACCCAAGTCAATGTACTTGTAATCTTACTAATTGACTATAGTTTTGTCCCACCTTGAACCTGCTCACCTGTGGCTTTGCTCCATAAAAACTCCATAGAAAACAGGGTCCCAGGCAACCCACTTTCCAGGCCCCCTTCTGTCTCTCTTAGACAGAAGCTATCTTTTTCTCAATAAATTTTCCTACTCTTAACCTCCAATGTTCTAGAATTCACTCTTCTATTTTTGAGAACACAAATTTTGTTTCAGATATCTAGCAGGTCTGGGAGTTACATCTATTCCCCATATCACCAAGAGTTCAAGACCACTGTGGGCTATGTAGTGAGCTCAAGGCCAGCCCAAACTATATAGCAAGACCCTATCTAAAAAATTCTAAAACAATAATAATTGCAATACCTTCTCCAGAAGGGAAAGAAATAACTCCTACCATATACTAAATGTGAGTAGAGGGAGTGTGGCTAGATAATTTTACTTTTTAAAATTATCTTCTCAATTGGAATTATTTTTACAACTTAAATAAAATTTTAAAACATAAAGAAGATTTTGGTTTTTTATTGTTTTATAAAAAAGATTTACAGGATTCTCTTGGAGCCAATTTGTAGGACACCTATACAAAAGACATGGTCAATAAAAAAACAACTTCACAAATGGGAATTTAGCTCAGTGGTTTCACTGCCTGCCCCAAAGTGCAAGGACCGGAGTTCCATCCCTGGTACCAAAAAATAAATAAATAGATAGATAGATAGATAGATAGATAAATAAATAAATACTTCACAGCTCTATTCCTCGCCCCTTCTAAAAGTTCAAGTCCACCTTCTTGACAGGGAACAAGCCCTAGAAAATATAAAGTTAAACATTTATCTTTCTGAAGGCTGTGGTTATCAGAAACAAAGATAAACAAGAGATAAAACTAAGCTCTTAAAACTATTTTCCTCAAAACCTATCAAAAAATTTAATTTGAAAAGTAAAGCATTTGCATATGCTTCAGAGGTTAAAGATTTGAAAATAACACTAGTTTTTAGGGGGTTATTTGGAAACCTCAGGGGTGTGTTTTGATTTTAACAATGTACAGAGAAAAAAATGAGAATGCTCTCCAGTGAAGAGAAACTAGTACTTTCATCTTTTGACCAGCAAGACAAATTCAGGACACAGGTCAGAGGATATTTTTCGTGGAAAAACACTATACAAATATTAAGGCTACCATTTATTTAGCAAATAAGGTAAAGTGTAAGCTCCCTCTGTAAGAAAAGGTAACTTTTGCTTTCAGAGTTCACTGATAGGTGCTCTTAATGTAACCCATCTAGGCGATGACCTCATGTTTCAACTTTCTCTTTCATAGGAGGCAGTCATTTAATAGATGACTAATAGAAGGGGAAGTAAAACGAATTAAGATGTGCTATGTGCATTAACACCATCAGCCCCCCCCCGGCAATGCATGTAATTATTATAGACTCCAAACATTAATAGAAATTCATTTTTTAAATTTACAATAAGTGAGATGTTAAAGCCGTCAAAAGTGGGGGGGGTGGCATCTCATCTCCTTGGGGACCCAGTGGCACGGACATACCACGGGGAGTAGGCTGGTTCGGCCTCTCCTGTGAATCTGTCCAAGTATGAAACTGAACACTCAAATTTTCAAATCATGTCCTGAACCATTTAACGAATACAAGCATCCCCGAGCCTTTCCTAGGGACACTGTCGCATTTCTAGTGTCCTTGTTTTACTTCAGATCATTTTCAAGGGCGAAGGCCTAGCCACTGCGGTGGCACACCGCTGGACTCTCAGCACCAAGGAGCCTGAGGCAGGAGGACCGAGTTGGGAGGCCAGCCTGGTCTACATAGTGAGTTTAAGGCCAGCCTGAACTACATAAGGAGACCTTGTCTCAAAAGCTCTGGAAAGGGGGAAGAAGCCAGCAAACCGCAGGAGACCACAATGCTTTGTCTCACCGTGTCGTCTCCACAGCGCTGAGCTGAACGGGACATCAGAATCCTAGTGGCAAAGGCAGGCGGCTGGGGACGCCCTGTCCCTCCACAGCGCGACTGGACGGAACCGAACCTCTCGGCGCCGGGCTCCGCTTCGCCTTCCGGCTGGGCGCCCGCGCTTCATGCACTGGGTTCCGGGTACAGGCCACCCCCACCCCCACGCCGTCCTCCGCTGAGCGCCCGCGGGCGGAAAGGAGTGGCGGTGACTCACAACCCCCAGGCCAACGGCCAGACCCCGGCCTCCCCGCTGCGGCGCTCCCGGCCCCTCAGCCTCTCCGCACCCCCAGGTCTGAGACCAGCCCCTCTCCACTCCGTGCCACACTCCCTCCGACGCGCGTACCTGTGAGCGCCGCAGGCCCGACCGCGCACGCACAAACTCTCCCACCGGTCAGCGCGCGTGCGTAGCAGCCCCCTCCCCCCCGCGCGCGCGCCGCCGCCTTGGAGGCCGGGCGAGGCCGCGGCGGAGGCGGAGGCCCGGCGCCCTGGGCGGCGCACGGCGCCCGAAGCCCGTCCTCCCAGCCGGGCTACTGCGGCGGAGGGGAGGGGAAAGTCGCGGGGGCAGGAAGCAGCGGCTTAAAAGGGCAGCGGTCGCCGAGCGCTTCCTCCTCGCCTCAGCCCGGCTCGCCTCTGCTGCCGCCATGTACCGCCGCCTGGGCGAGGCGCTGCTCCTGTCCCGCGGTGGGCCCTCCGCCACCGACCCCGCAGCTCTGTTCGGCTGCTGGGCCCGCGCGCCTCCTGTCGTCGCCCCACCGCCAGCCCTCGGGACGCCTGCCTACCGCCGCTACAGCGATGCGGCGGCCGAGCGCGAGGACGACCCCAATTTCTTCAAGATGGTGGAGGGCTTCTTCGACCGCGGCGCCAACATCGTGGAGGACAAGCTCGTGGAGGACCTGCGCACCCGCGAGAGCGAGGAGCAGAAGCGCAACCGCGTGCGCGGCATCTTGCGCATTATCAAGCCCTGCAACCACGTGCTGAGCGTCTCCTTCCCCATCCGGCGCGACGACGGTTCCTGGGAGGTCATCGAGGGCTACAGAGCCCAGCACAGCCAGCACCGCACACCCTGCAAGGGAGGTGAGCGCGTCCCCTCCCCCTGTCCGGGGTGTGGCAGGCTCGCGAACAGCGGTTTTCCGCCTTCAAACTTCCACGTCGGCGGCCCGGCCGCCTCGTCACCCGACCCCTTGCTGCACTGATGCTGCCTGTAGAGCTGACAGTGCACCGGCCTCTGCGTCCCGGAATCAGGGTCACCATGGGGGTGGGGGGACCGTGCCGAAATGCACTTGTGAAAAAGGCATCGGTGACTGGTCCCTCCGAGGCTGACCAGGAAGCTTTCTTGGGCGCCTACTGTAGGATTTTCCCCCAGTGCAGACCCTGAAGTTGTTTTGTGATGTTTTTCGTTTTGCAACAGCAGTGACAACTGACATAGAAACATAGGAAGTGACTTGCATTCTAGGTGTGAAGTCTAGACAGTTTTAGTAACCAAAGGAATTTACTGAGCTCACGTTACTCTTGAGAATTGAGTTTTTACATTCTGACGACGTGTTTTGTGCCCCCTCTTAAGTGCAGGCAGGGTAAAATCTCTGCCGGTAACGCTAGGCGTCCTGACAGTATACACCACGGCTCGCCGGCCAATGGAATGAAACAGCCCTGGGGGTGTGTACTCGTCCTGGCTAGCTCCAAATTGGAACTCAGGAAAAGCTAGAGTCGAGTCAGGTACAATTTGGTAGTCACTGAGATATCCTGTAGTTTCGAGTTTTGGATCTCTGCAGATTTGGTTTATTTAGTCAGATTTGCTTTCTTCTGGCAAATAAAAGATTTTTTTCATTTCCCCATCCAATATATTGCAAAATATTGTACATCTTTAAAGGTGCTTAAAAGTAACCTAAAATGAAAAGAACAAAACCTCTTTTTCCTTATTGTTATAAAAAAAAAATTAAGGAAAGTGAAAGTAAAAGACCTAGGGAGGGGAACGGTTTTGTTGGAGGTGGGATGGGCCAGGCCCTTTGTCTCCCTCAGCCCGGTCGCTGGCTTTCTGTTGCCAGCTGACTTCCAAGGGCAGTTTTTGGAAATCCTTTCTTTACTAGAAAATTTCTGCTGGGATGGTAGTCCCTGAGAGGGGAGCAAAGGTTGTTGCTAATGGTTTAATGATTCACTAAATTTGCATTGACCCCACGCACACTTGGGGTTTACCTTTAGAGCTTAATTGCCATTTAGCTTTGTAGTTTCCTATGCTAAAAGCTGTTGGAGTCCCTTTGACCTCTTACTTCCCTTCCAGCTCCAAAATTATATAAAATGGACACGCTGTCATTCTCCTGCATTCCCTGCCTTCTTCCTACCACTCCCTTGTTCTCCAGACCAGGAACACTAGCTCAGGCTCCCTTGAAATCCAAACAAGGATGTTGGAGGAAGGGCAGCGGATAGCAAATATTAAGCAAAATTGCCGTGATTCTGTAAAATGGGCATTGAGTGCATTTCACTCTTGGCGACAGCATTTTCCAGTCCCATACACAAATCAATATATTCGTTTTTCTGCAGGATCTGATTTGGTTTCTTTGAAGCTCTTTATGTTTCTTTCAGGACCAAGTTCTCTTCTGTCTTTGTAAGTCACAGCTCCACACTCATTAATGCAACTCAAGTTTCTGGAGTTTGTTGGTCTTCATCTTGTAGCTACAGCAGTTTTTAATGCCACAGTAGCGAATCTAGCAACAAATTCCATCAGCTGTTCCAGAGCTGTTATTGTAACATTTGCATGTACTTGAGTGTAAGATAGTCTCTGTTCTATTTATCAGCACACAAACGTACAGAAACTAGCTAAACAGTAGCAAACATTGCAAGATGATGTATATGAAAGAAAACTGGACTGTGCGAAGTGATCAATTTAATATCTTAAACAATTTAAAAGACTGGATTGATGAGGAGTAGGTAACTGTGAAAGCCTTTAAATGCTGTAGATGATTAACAAAATTTACTCATTTTTGTTGTATAAGTAAGTTGTTAAAAACCAAGTGTTGTGGGCTGCACTTGTACTTTCAGCTATTCCAAAGGCTTAGGCCAGAGGATCTCTTGACCCCAAGAGTTTGGGACCAGTATAGGAAACATAGAAGGCCCTATTTTTTTGCAAAAGTTTTTGGTTTTTTATATACTGGGGATTGAAACCCAGGCCTTCTCCAGAACTACATTTTGTTTCATAGAAGCAAGGTCTTTTTAAGTCACCCAGGCTGGGCTTGAACATGGAATCAGGATCCTCGTGCCTCCACCTCCTGGCGGGGGCGGGGGAGGGGGGATAGCTCTTAAATTAAAAAGAAAAGAAAAAAAATTACAAAGAGAAAAGGAACTTGTTAATCTCAGCGCCGCCCTGCTTTAGAAATAGAGTGTAGGGCCAGGGATTTAGCACAGTGGTGCTGCACCTGCCTCGGAAGCACAAGGTCCAGAGCTTGATCCCCAGTACAAAAAATAAAAATGAAATACAGAGTGTATTAGGTGATTGAGATAAAGATGGTCCTGATAATCCCTCTGAATTTTAGTCTTTTCTTCTCAAACATTTTAGCCACACTCCTCCAACTAAACTACTTTCCCAGTGTTCTTTGCAAAAGAAAAAGCTCATCTACTCTTCACTCCTTTTCCCAGCCCTTAGCTTTTCTATATCTGATCTTTCCTCTACAATGACCTTATGCCTGAGTTTCCTAAAATAAAATTCTCAAGGTTGAAGTCAAGTAACAGTCTAGTTGCCTCTGTAAGAGAAAGGTGTTTAAAGACCTGGGAGTGGCTGGCAAGTACTTTATTGCAAATAAATATTTAATAACAGTGTTTTCCTGCATTTTCTAAATACCGTATTTAACTGAGACTGCTTGATCTGCCTCTGTTAAGGGTTTGCTGAAGAGTGTGCTGTAGACTCTGAAGCATGTTTAAGTGACAACTTAAAAATAATTTCAGGTAGCCTGTTGTGGTGTACATCCTTGTAATCCCAGCACTTAGGAGGCCAAGGCAGGGAGATCTGAGGATTTTGTTTTGTTTTGTTTGTTTTTTGAGATCACGAGTTTGAGGCCATCTTGAATTACATAGTGAATTAAAGGCCAGCTTGGATTACCTGGTCTCAAAACTAAATTTTTTTTTCAGTAAAGATGAGTATTGCACAAATACGCCACTGATTTGAGAAGACTAGTTCAGGGTTCTGATTTGCTTGAAGAAAGTTTTAGAGACTGTAACCACTTTCTCAGAGTGAATTCTCTGTTCCATGGGCCACAGTTATGCCTGAGGCCAGTCTGCTTTTCCGAAGGAAGTTTATCAGAGGTCAGGTGTAGGAAGGGTACTGACATGTAATGGTGTGATCGGTTTGCTTTCTCTTCAAAACTGCCCCACCTTTGTGACCTTAAAACTATTTAACCAAAATTACAGTTGATTGGGGCCAGGGGCCAGGGGCCAGGGATTTAGCTCAGTGGCACTGTGCTTGCCTCACAAGCACAAGGTGCTGAGTTCGATCCCTGGTATAATAAATAAATAAATAAAGTTGATAGGTGTAGATGGAATCTGGATGCACTTTAATTATGAATAAACCTGTGCCTGTTGTGTGTGAGCCAGCATACAGAAGCCTCCCTAGGAGGTGGGCAGTCTCCCCTGGGTGGGAGGAGGGCCCATGTGGGGCTGGTCCTGCAGGTGAGTCATCCTGCCTTCCCAGGGGAGGTGGGATGTTTCTGGTTTTCATTTTGCTGTGCTAAATTGACAACCATCAAAATTTGGGTAACTGAATAAACTCAATTTCTGATATTCTGAAAGTATGGCTTTGTGTCTGCATCTTGCTACCACAAG